GAGGGAAATCTGAACAATTTCTGGGTCATTAATACAAAACAGAAACACTCTTGGCTGGCAAATAAGTTACTACTTCTCAGAGACACAACCTACAACTGGATCAAGCATCTTGTAGGTAATGGCGAAACGACTTACTTCTGGCACTCAAACTGGTTTCCTTTTGGGAAAATCAGGAACTTTCTGCAACATGAATCGTGTTTGACGGTGGGGATCTCGTCCTCCACGACGTTAGCTGAACTATGGGACACGGATCACTGGGTACTACCTCCGGCAAGATCAGACAAGCAAGTACAAATATACACTTTCCTCACTTCAATTCAACTTTCTAACAACGCAGACAAGGTCGAATGGTCTCCTACTGGTATTCCTGCTATCTCTTATTCTACCCGATTGATATATGATATTTTGAGAGATAAACTGCCAACAGTTACATGGCATAAAGAATTCTGGTTCAGTGGGGGTATTCCCAAGCACAAAGTGGGGACTTGGTTGATGATACTTGACCGATGTCCCACTCGGGATCGATTGCTGCAATGGGGTTTGCAAACTGACAGCAACTGCCTCCTCTGCAACTCTCTTCCAGAATCTCGATCGCACATCTTCTTTGATTGTGATTTCTCTTGGGAGGTTTGGTCGGTTCTTTCCCGCAGATGTGGCTCCTATCCTTCACGAAACTGGGACACCCAACTTTCGCAATTACATGATTTCAGGGGATCAAAGCTCAATAGAAAACTTCTCCTTCTAGCTTGGCAAGGATCCATCTACTCCGTATGGACTGAGAGGAATAATAGACTTCACAGAGCTTCCTACCGATCAGCTTCATCTATCAAAGCCGAGGTAGACAAAACTATCAAGCAAAGAATCGCATCCTTCAGGTTCTCTAACCCTTCTCAATCATCAGCCCTCCTCCAAATTTGGTTCTCTTCTTCCTAGCTTAGGAAACATCGATCAATTATTCCATGTTCTCTGTGGTTTGAGATTGGGTTCTATAATGTATGTTTCATATTTCATCTATTTGGGCCGCTTGGCCCAGTGGCAATAGCCTGTAACATTTGCACTCTTATGCTTTAAATAGAAAAACTTTTATCAAAACAAAAAAAAAGTATAGCTCGAGGCTTGGACTAATGAGTGGCATGTAAAATAAACGTATCACCACCATGTCGTGTATTTTGATGAATCTGATCTCAGATCAAATTGGGCTAAACCCATTTAGTTCAAGCAGCACTATAAGCCCAGCACATACTCGCATGTTCACATTAAGAGGGTCCTAACTCCTGATTTAGGGTGTGACTGGTTACAATGCAGTGATTGCGGTTGCGGTTACAGACGTTTGTAGATGCGGAAGATTGCGTTTTTAAGCGTTAGTAAAAAATTTAGACAACTGGTTCAACGGTTAAAATTTGTTGCGTTTTCAGGATACTTATGACCGGTTTATTATCAAATACATCAGCAGTTAAATAATAAGTTAGATATTTATATTTTATATAATTATCAAAATATTAAAATCATATTTTTATAATAAATATAAAATTGTTATTGATAAAACTACTATTAAGGTTTTTAAAAAGTTAAAGAAAATATTTTTTTGGAAATTTTATAATATAAATATTTTGGTATTTCAATTATTTTAATTTAAAATTTTAATTGAATATTTTATTTTTATATTTTTATAGTTTTCCGGGAAAGAAAATTATCATCCCGCTATCACCCGCAAACGTTAGTTGGAACCAGCTTTTGAATTTTAGAGATTCAGAGCGATTTGAAGTGGTTTATAGCATTTTCTGTGATTGTTGCAAAAAATCAACAACCACTACCAACCGCAAAAACTGCATTTGCGGATGATGGCGGGAGAACCAATCAAGCCCTTAATATAATATTACGAACTAAACATATTTGTGCACTCATAAGGGTATTTATTTTAATAGATTACTAGATGTTGACCCGTGCCCCCACACGAGTGTTTGATTTAACTTGTGTTCAACGTAAATTCATAAACTATTGATTTTGTAAAAAAGTCTCGTGTATATTTTTATGTTTTGTAATTTACATATAGAGTAAAGTATATTATTTTATAATATAGATATTTGATAATTTTTTTTATTTGTACATATTATTATATTAGGAATTTTAAAACTTAAAGTTATTGTACGAATTTAACCTATTATTTATTTTTGCTAATTTATTTTAAAATGAAATCATATACTAATTTTGTTTTTAATTTTTTGCATAATATTTATTTTCTTGAAAATTGAATTCTTTGATTCTTTAATTGATTAAATTAAATAAGGTAATATTATATTTAAACGGTGTTTTGTATAATATATATTATATTGTAATTGATATTCCTATATTATCAATAACACCATGAGCTTTAGAATTGTAATTGATTAATTTAACTTATTTTAAATATAGTGGTAGAATCTATAAATAAAAAGAAATACAAAAAAAAATATTTAATTTATCGTAAATGCAATGGTTAAATATGTAAATAAAAGAAAATACACTGATATTAATGTATCCAAACATATTTCTTTTTATTATTACTTTTTTGTTTTCAAATAGTACTAAAAGGTACTTCAGTTTTAATAATATAGATACATATGAAAGTCTTCACATTAAAAGAATATAATAGTTACACATAGATGTCTATGGATGTTTGTATTTGAATTGTATATATAATATTTTTGCTAGATTGACAGTTTTAATTTTATGTAATTTGTTAGTTGTCCATATTGTTGTTGGATATTAAATCAATCAAAATGATATAACATATTCATTAATTATTAATTTTAATGATATTAACCATTTTTATGTATTTATTTATAACTTAATATATCAATTATTATGTTTATGTATATTAATAAATATATTTTTAAAGAATAAAATATTTTATGTCAAATAAAATTCACTTGGTTTTAATAAGATAAATAGATATGTCTTTTAAGTTTTTATATATAAACAAGATAAATTTTCTTCCATATTTATTTTTAAGGAAATATTAAATTGAATTATATTAAATTATTATAGTGTTTTACTTCAATACATATGTGAGTAATAATAATCATCAAATTATTTAACATATATTTGAAAAATATATGTTTTAATAAAACATTTTAGTTTGTATATTGTATATGAATGAAATAATAAGCTACATAAATATATAATATTTAAAATTTGCATGTTACATTTTAAATAAATCTGGTAATTTTATTGTAAATTTTGATTCGAGAATATTCTGATTAGAGAATCATTTAACAAATTAAATGATTTATAGTTAATTAATTAATAATTATTAAATCAGTGGTATATGTTGTAATCATTATGATGAACGAAGGTTATTTTCAAAGGGTAATTTAGTTTTCATAATATAGATATAACTAAAATTTTATTTATAATCAAAGTCCTATTGTTTTAAATATAAATATAAATTTTATGAAGTAAAAAGTTAAGAGGAAATAAATGTAATACATTTTTATTATTTTTATTTAAGTTATTATTTTTTGCATAAATTATGTCTTTGAATTATGTGTTTAGCTACGTAGGTTTTCACCGATTGAAACTAAAATAACTTTTTTAGTAAAATAGATCAAACCAAACTTCAACCCTATGCAAAACCTGATATTTTATATTTTATATTTTATATTTTATATTTTATTTCTATAATTGGTATAAATTTAATGTTGATTAATTAATTTTTAAAAAGGATAAATAATACTCTCTCCGTTTCACTTTAGATGTCATTCTAGGTTTTTACACACATATTAATGAAACAATTAATTTACATATTTTCAAGATAAAAACACAATTACCTATACACCTAACCACTTTTCAACCAATAGAAAAATAGAAATTATATAAAAGTAATAAATTTTGTCTCGAAACTCTAAAACGACACTTAATTTGTGACAGAAAAATTAAGCATAGAATGACAAGTATTCTGAAACGGAGGGAATAAAAATCTGCACTATTATTATGATAATATAATAGAATGACAAGTATTCTGAAACGGAGGGAATAAAAATCTGCACTATTATTATGATAATATAATTAATGATGTGATGTATTGTTGTAATAATATAATTAATAAAATTGTTAAATTGAGTGAAAAATGAAATGACAATTAATGCAATAACTTTATGAAATAAAGTTAAGTTTTATTTTGTGTTTCAATTTTAATAGTGTAGATGTCTACATATCATGAGATTTTCCATGAATTTGCTATTGGTACTATTATTCAATATTATAAACGAAATGGCATTTTAATGATTTTTCCTCCAATCCAATAGAATTTTTTTTTGTGCACAATCCAATAGATCAAAAGTTGTTTTTAATGTTCTTTTTAATTATTTGTGGGTGGGTAGACTCGGTTTAATTTCAGAGTTTCCGGAGAGATAAGCAGGAGAGCTATAAAAATATGAACGGCGACATTTCACATTTGTGGGAATATGTGCAAATGAGTCAATGACATTTGACATAAAAAAAAAGATTCCCTAGTTTCTTTGTACATCCTTGGTTGTGTATCCAACCAGCTTTTTCCATGTGCTCCCAAAAAATCCTAGAAGTATATTTTTTTTATTAACAAAAGCCAAAAAAGAGTGAAGGTACAAAAACAAAATCACAAAGATACGTCACAAAAGGATGAGATCTTTGGGGGACAAGATGACATGAGCTATAGAGCTTTGAAACTCAAACACTTCTCCATATATATTCTTTCATTAAAAATCTACAAACACCTTCTTTTCACTTGTCTTACATCGTACGTTCACTTTACATACACCATTTTATGCTACTAGGGTTTATATAACATTTTCTATAAAACAAAAAGACAAATATAACCTATATATAATGTTTTGGAAGTCTTGTTTCTCTGCATGTACTTCACCGTCTTCACCCAATCACATCTCTTATAAAGATACTCTTCAGCCTCAACAAATATTCCCAAAATCTAATTAATTACGACCTCGTCGTCATCTTATGATATAAGTATTTAGAATAGAGAACAAACTTTTACAGTTTACCTATGTTACATATGTTCAATGTTTGCAGTCATAGTTAACTCAAACGCAGATATTTTTAAAACAAAACTCATAACTAAAACCATATAAAGTCTATCTATTAATGGAAAAATACAGACGAAAGGGTTCAGAAATTATAACCACGTTATCTATATAAGAAAACTATATCATATAATAGTGCTCAAGTCTCATCAAATCACACCCGTATGAAGTGATTAAGAGGACGACGTCTTTTGGACCTTTCTCCCCCACCACCATGTCCCATCATCACTGACTGGTTTGACCGTTCGAGCAACGACTCAATTGCGTTCTGTAGTAATTTCACCGACTCGACACTGTGCTGCTCTTTGTTGCCGACCACAACGAGATCATTTCTTGTCCGACCACCGATTGTCGTCATATATGCAGAGAGAGTTTCCATCCGAAGAGACTTGAGTGTCTCGACAAGATCTTGCATGAGATCTGGCCTGTCCTCGCAGCAGAACGATACTTTGAAGATTATCCCACCGTCTTCGTTGGAACAGTCTTCGAAGTTGAGTACACTGATTTCGTCTGTCTCAGACGGTACCGTATCGTTGGAGATTTCTAGGGTTTTTTGTTTTAGTTCATTGACTCGTTGGACCACTTTTGCTAGTAGTGTGGCTTTGTCGGTCTGTGAAAGAAAAATATGAACGTAAGAAAGAGAAAAGTATTGGACCTTTAGAAACTCTTTGTTCGAGAAATCTTGTCTTGCTTGTTCAGTTGTTTCAAAGGAAAGTAAAAAAAAACTTGAGAAGTATTCCGACAAAATGATTCACCAGCTTCAGAGAATAAAAAAAGAACTTGAAACCTTTTTTATTTATTTTTCCTCAATTTCTAATTATATTCCCTGTACTTGCTTTTTATAATTTGAAAACATTACATTTGACTGATGTTAAGCTTTTAAATTTCTATAAATGATATACTTCCAAACTTTTAACGTTCCACCTTACAAATAAATCAAACTAAATCCTAAGACGGAGACAGTAGTCACAGTACGTACTGAAGAATTAGCCAAGCAATATTAGTTAAGCACTTAACTAACTAAATAACTATATTTTTGTCATGTGGGATATAGCAGGTTTAAACTGTTTACACAAAATCAAAAAATCTGCTGAGATAACATCCAAAACTCATTTTAAGGTCCTCTTTTAAGCTTAAGTATACAGACTGTGTAATATGAGTACAAAATAGAAGTGTAGAATTAATTTTAGATTATCAAGGTTTTTGATAAAGATGATCATTACGGCTTCCACTCAAATTAGTAGATTATACGAAGTCTCTATCAAACTATATAACTAAAGTGAAAATATTAAAGTAGTAGTATAGTAAAGAATCATGCTTTCAAAGTTTGTACCTTGGAGTTACAAGAGAGTAAGTTTCGGAGCTTGTTAAGATTGGAGTTAATTCTTTCTCTTCTGTTTCGCTCAGCTTCTTTGTGTTTCCTCAGAGCAGCAAGAGATTTGTCTTGAGAAATTGTGTCTTCGATGGTAAAAGGGAAAAACGACGATCTTGTGGTGGTGGTGGTGGTCGACGAGGCACCTAATCCTCCTGTGAGGAAAGAATATAATATTTGATCTGTAATCTCTGGGCGCATTTTTATTGTTGTTTTTGCTTCTCTGGCAGCCTTCTTTTTGTTGGGTTTAGAGCTCTCTGTGGGTTCTATCCTAAAAGAAAAATTACACACATATATATGTATATAAAAGATTGGAGAGAGACAGAGGAGATGTATACTGTATAGTGTCATCGAGAATAATAAATTTATTTATAAAAAAAAATTGAATAAAAGTTATTAATATATTGGTTCTGTAGCAAACGTTGCATGCGTTTGATGGATAATTGAAACCGTTTTCTACTGCTTATATCGCAGTTTAAACGGTTTGTAAACAAAGAAAGAAAACATACTTTAACTAGAGCGTCTGCGATTGCTAGTGACACTCGAACAATTCCAAAATTTTGGTTTCACAAAGTTACCTTCAAGGCTTTCAACCTTTATAAAGAAAGGTTACCGTTCACATTACAAATATATGTTATAAAGAAAATAAAACTTAAGCCAAATTTCTATTATCTTGTATCAAACAATTTCTATTATTCAAATGAATTGTAATGAGGTCTCAAAAAACAAATACACCCTCTTAAAATAGTGAGAAGAATAACAAAAGCGATAAAGAACATTGTTTGCACAGAAACCCCACCCCACGTTAACAAGGATGTGAGACTCAACTAAAAAAAAGTTCGTGATCAGAGTTGGCTCACACGATTTATTGACAAGTCATAGTTTGCACACCAACCTCATGTTTTACAAATGCAATTTTTATGGAAGAAAGACACTGGACCATGTCGAGAATAAAGTTCGATTAAGTGTATAAAACCAGATTAAGGATAAAACAAGTCGGAAATCTCGTTTATATTATAAGTAAATCAGAATTCAGAAAAAGTTATCTTTATAAAATCTCTTTTTAAAAGATATGAGAAGAAAAGCCAGTTATGTTTTCTGTCGACTAAGCTAGTCATTCATAGTAAACATCCCTTTTATAGGTGAAGAGTGGTTCAAATACAATAAAAGTTGGCTCCTCATTCTTAAGGCTGAGAATATTCTCTATGAGGCCGATACAGTTCGTCCTGAAACATTAAATGCCGGCCAGTCTATCCTTGTCAACTATACCACAGTTGCAAGATACAGTTTTGCATTCAACAAGGCCATGATACAATGCTTTACCAGGGACCAATAATAAGAAACCACGAAACTAGACCTTACAAAGAAAGACTTAAAAAGTTCATATGCAAAACATAGCATAAAAGAGATAACATTGTGGCCATAAAACAGAGCCGAGTCCCATGAATAAAAAACTTTAGAACATAATAGCAAATATAAGAATCACATAAAAGTATATTAGTAGTAACACAAAACCTTATCACTTAGCCATCATGACCTTGACAAACTCTTCATAGTTAATCTGGCCATCACCATCAACATCAGCTTCCTTGATCATCTCATCAACCTCTTCATCAGTGAGCTTCTCACCTAAGTTTGTCATCACATGACGGAGCTCAGCTGCTGAGATGAAACCGTTCTGGTCCTTGTCAAAGACCCTAAACGCTTCCTTGAGCTCTTCCTCGGAGTCGGTGTCCTTCATCTTACGAGCCATGAGGTTCAAGAACTCAGGGAAGTCAATGGTGCCGTTACCGTCAGCGTCAACTTCGTTGATCATGTCTTGGAGCTCTGCTTCTGTTGGGTTCTGTCCGAGAGAACGCATCACGGTTCCAAGCTCCTTTGTGGTAATGCAACCTGTAAGCAAAGCAAAATCAAGGATTGTTACAACAGTCCTTACTCCAAAAAAATTATCAATTACAAAATTCAAAACAGACAACAAGTTTCTCTCTTTATCAATTTCAGACAAAACCCATAGAAGACAATAAGTTTCTCTCTATCAATTTCAGACAAAACTCAAAGCAAACAACAAGTTTCTCTCTTTATTTAAGACAGAACTCAAAGATGCAGAAAACAAGTTTCTCTCTTTATCAGTTTCAGACAAAACTCATAGCAGACAGCATCATTTTCAGACAAAACTCAAAGTCAGACAACAAGTTTTTTCTCTCTATCAGTTTCAGACAACTCAAAGCAGACAACAAGTTTTTTCTCTCTTTATCATTTTCAGACAAAACTCAAAGCAGACAAAAAGTTTATCTCTTTATCATTTTCAGTCAAAACCCAGACAACAAGTTTGTCTCTTTTTCTTTCCTTTTGTTTTTCAGACAAAGCAGGCAACAAACTCAAAGCAGCATCATAGGTAGATCTAAATTTAAAGTTTGTCACTTTTAATCTTTTATTTTCATATCAACATCGTTTATGAATTATGATCAAATCGAAAGAGAAGCTAAAGGGACGAGTCTAGAGATCAAGAAACGCAGATCGATACGATATAGAACAAATTAATAGAAGGCCAGGTAAATCAGAAGTTGCAAGATCATATGCATTCACAAACTTAAGTCTCTAAGAAAGCGTACCGTCACCATCCTTGTCGAATAAGCTGAAGGCTTCTTTGAACTCAGAGATCTGATCATCGGTGAGCTGATCCGCCATTCTTGAGATTGCTTCTTCGTTAGCCTGAAGATACCTTTTTTGTTTGTTTTTAAATCTCAAATCGAGAATCGAGAGGAGGAGGAAGAAGAAGAAGAGAAATTAGAAAGGCTTCACAGCGAGAGAGAGACCGTCTTTATCGGATGCTTAATTTGCTATTTAACGACTTTTACTCCGAACCGGAACTCGAATCGCTTTTATAATCCCGTACCGGATATTGAAATCTCTATTACACCCTCATTGATTACTTTAATTTACGTTAATGCCATTAACAATGATTGTTCTTTTTCCAAACCGCCAGAGTGGATATCAATCATCTCACGCGGTCTGTACGCGGAACGTTGACTTACTTGCGTCAGCATAACGTCCGTTTAGATTGGTTAAAAGGTTTTTATTAATAGTTCACTATCACCGGTCAACAAATTAAATGTTTTGAATTATAAACCATAGTTTATAATTATCTACTCAATTTCCTAATATGAGTAAATAAAAACATATAGATTGGAACATGTTTGGTAATAATCAATGATTTACATACAGAAAGAAAGTAACATAAATTTTGATTGAATTAATTTAATTTACATTTATTTCAAAAAGTTTATATACATTTAGATAACAAAAGATGAGTTGTAAAGAAAAGCTATTTATGTACATATAAGTTGGCAAAACCAATAGTGTATCTTGCTTAGATGATTTTTTTCATTTTCAAAATTTGTTAGTTTTTTATTCTTTTCCTAAGGGAACTAGTGAAATTGTTTGCATGAACAAACATATGCTCCTGCAAATAGTAAAACCTCACGATATTCAGACTACACATTTATCATTAACCCCAACCATTTGCACCCTAATCAAGTGCATGTCGTCTTAATTATTAACTAGGATAAGACCTGCGCCTTGCGCAGGGTGAATATATGTAATTAAAATATAAAATTTTAGTATTGACAAATTTAAAATTTACATATGATTGTTTTTGTATGTATTTGAAATTTAAGAATTTTGAAATTTTTATATAATTATCTATACGTAGGATCAGAAACAATTTTAATTAGAAATGTAGATCAAATCTTAGAATTTAATGGATCTGATTTCATATATCTTTTCACTTTTCAGTGTTCGAGTGAAGGAAAATAAATGGAGTGTCACTGGGCTTGATTGGTAGAGTATTAGCAAATTCCCTAATGTTTTTTAAGAAGCAATTGGTAAAATATTTGCATTTCAAATATATAAAGTTTCAAAACTAATTTAATATAATTTATTTATCTGTCTAATAATATTAGAAAATTATATTTTTTTACAAATTATTATTTTTTAATATAATTAATAAAAAATTATGTTAAATTTTAAATTATTTTTAAAAACAATATTTTAAGTTTTTCAAATACAAATAAATAATTTAAAATTAATTATGGTCATGATTTAACATAACCATAATGATTTAAAATATTAAAAAATTAAAAATTAACAAATTAAAAATTAACTCAGTTTTATATCATGATTTAACAATTTAAAAATTAATTATGGTTATGAGAAGTTTATGTTCACGTGTCAGTCCTATTTATCTTCTATTTTTCTCTTGCTATGTTACTCGATATAAATATTTATTTTGAATTTTATTCTCATTTTGTTTGTTTTAGAAAATACTTTAGATTTAAAATAATTAAAGAGATACATACTTAGGTTAAGATCTGCACTTTATGCACAATAAGTATTTTATATTTATTATTTATTTTATATTTTTCTGCATATTATAAATAATGAAATAATAAATATATTAAATAACTAAGAAAGCAGTTACTATTATGTAATAAATTGGCGTATTCATATAAATTTAACTATTACTCTTGTTCACAATTAGGGTAAATAAATCAAAATAATCAATCTATATATTGTATATGATATATAATTAAATTTAAATGATATAAACATAGTAATATAACACACTTTTAATATGGATATTAATTAAATGAGGTTTCTACTCATATGATTTTATGATTATTTGCATATTTGTATAACAAAACTTTACACCAACGAATTTTTTTTAATGTGAGATGTTTAGTAGTTTCAATAATTTATAATCATTTAAAAAAAACAATGACATATTTCAAAATTAATATATTAATTTTTCAATATATGTTCAAGGCAAATATCAAAATATAAGTATGTATTTTGAGACGATGTATAGTCTAATTAAAATGATATTAAATATCTATAAACTAAAATTATTTCTTCATATGGTATTATAATCATTATATTTTAGTATAGAAAAAAAAATTAAAACATTGATCTTAAAAGTTTATGTGGGACTTTTAACAGTTTTAGTAATTTATACTCATTTTGAAAAATTCGAAATACAACATACACAAAAAAAAATCTAGATTTTTATTATATGATTCATGTATTTGTGTAATTTATTTTAATAATAAAGAAATAAAAAAATGAAAAAAAAATATAAATTGTTATCAAATCTTTATTGTTTAAAATCATTAATTGTCATATATATATATTTTGATCACATTAGGTAATTTCGTAGGTTTTATTTAAGGAAAGTATGCGAAACAATAAATATTTGATATATGCGACCAACTATAGCCTACGAAATATTATATTGCTAGAGAATATAATTTTTAAACTATACATTATATCACATGCTCTAGAATCCTTGGGATTTGAAATAGAAGCCAAAGAGCTATGCCACGTAGGATTGGGGTTATTTTTAATTCTTACAAACTTAAGGTTACAAATTTTTAAATGATTCTCAAATAATATATAGGGGATAGGTTATCAATGCAACAAAATTATATAACAAGAGCTACCAATGCCAAACTTATCATTAAACCAAACCATTTGCGTCTTAATTATTAGTAGATTATGAATTCAAAAACATTATAAAATAAAATAAAAAAACATTACTGTATATAATAAGAGCTACCAAAACGTGTTGTAGGTGAAAACTGTCGTGACTGTGACGTACAAAGAACCTAAAGAGATCGATCACATCAAAACACTAGTCTCCTTCGACACGCGTCTAGCGGAAGCGAGTTGGTACTGCCACGTCGGATGTGTCGGCGTCCACTTCCCCCGCCGTAACAATCAACAGATTTATGACACTCGTTGTTATTAGGGACAAAGTCCCACATCGAAAGTTGGAAGGGATTCTATGTAGTATATAAGATAGATGGGCTACTCCACTTATTAAGTTAGATGGGCTTCCAACTTAAAACCAATTGGTGATAAGTGGAGTAGCCCATCTATCTTATATACTACATAGAATCCCTTCCAACTTTCGATGTGGGACTTTGTCCCTAATACGCCCCCTCGAGATGATGGCTCTTTGGCATCAATCTCGGAATGTTCGGGCAAGGATCGATGGGCCAACTTTGAGCACGGATCGATGAGGATCGGGTTGGACAGCGTGGATCGTGGGCTCTGATACCATATTAAGTTAGATGAGCTTCCAACTTAAAACCAATTGGTGATAAGTGGAGTAGCCCATCTATCTTATATACTACATAGAATCCCTTCCAACTTTCGATGTGGAACTTTGTCCCTAATAGTTGTCGCCGTAGCCGGAGAAGGAGGAGAGCTCGTGAACGGTCTCTGAGATCAAATCCCGACAGATATGATCATGAAGTTCCAAACCAATCTTAGCGACCTCTCGTCGTTGACCAGATGCCACGTCATCATCACAAACCTGGTTCACGCTCTCCATCAAGCTCCGTCTTACATTCTGTACCATGATTGGCGCATTGTCACGTGTCTCTATCGTTGCTGTCCTGGAAATGACGTCATGCATGGCGTAATTATGATCGGGTCTAGTGATTAGATCAATGTGGTTGACTTTGTAGGTTATGTCGTGTTTGTTGTACTCGTGGTGGTCGTTCATCATCTTCGACAACATTGTTGTGTCCGTGTCTGTTTCATGTATTGTCGTCTTCCTGTTCGTATTCGTTTGCGCCCCCACGACGACATCTCCTGCCATTGTTAAGCCAATAAAATAATTGTATACGACAAGATGTGTTTACTATATTATTCATTTGATTATCATTTGTCGTTGTTCAAAAGAATTTTTTTATTGATGTACCAAAAAATAAAAAATAGAAATAAATTATTATTGTCTAAATCATCTACTGTTGAAATAAAATCTCATAGAAGGTTGGTTTTCATCCATAATTAAAAAAAACACATTCTTATAAATATCCTTTTTTTTGTAAATAGCATAAACTATAAAACAACGTCTCCTTGGTGGTATTTTGTGTATTATTCAAAATAAATTGTTATATACATTCAGTGCTATAAAGAATCATTTTGCTACTTTATTAGAAAAAAGAATCGGTTTGCTTAAAAAGTGGTTTACTTGATTTGGTACCCTTAAACAGTATGTGGGTCAGAATCAGGAATAAAGCAAATGATGTGTAGGGGCCCAAATGATGAAGAAAGTAAAAGTGGGCTTCATGATAAAGCTCTCTAAAAGCTGTTTCTTCCTTCATCATTTGTCTAAGAGCAGCATTAACGGGAGCGCTTAAGTAGGTGCTTAGGTTTTTTTGTAATTAAAAAAAAAGGAAAAATCACAATTATCTTAAGCACTGGAGCTTAATTAAGAGCAAGAAGCAGCGGTGCTTGTTCTTCCTCTCTCTTTCTGGGAACATAAATCCGACCAAGTTCCAGTCATGGAGAAACAAATCCGACCAAGTTGTCCTCAAGCAGTTCTTCTCTTCTCGTCTCCGCGCATTCTCAGCATCCATGGAGTTTGATTTCACCCACCCTCCACCTCCTAGGAACCTCCAAAACACCAGAGGACGTGAACAAAATCCACGCTCGATTGATCACGAAAGGATTCATCAAAAGCCCCAATCTCACTACAAGGATCATGTATCTTCTTCCGGAGAGGTGAAAGATCTCTATGGAACGCGGTGATCAAATCCCACTCTCAAGGAGTCTATCCGATAAAAGCTCTGTTCTTTCTCTATTTGATGCTCGAGAACGGTGTCCCCGTGGACAGATTCTCGATGTCTCTTGTTTTGAAAGTGTCTCAGGTTTTTTGTTTTTTTCTTTCTTTCTCTGTTTCTTTATTGGATTTAATTTGCTGCAAAGACTCTTCTTTTTTATTTTACATTAAAGGCAATCTTAGGACTGATAAAGTTATAGCTTTGAGGGTTTATGTTTAGTTTGAGATTGCAAGTTTAGTGCTTTTGCTTCTTACCAGTTAGAGTTTCATTTTGTGTCTGTGAGAAACTAAAAGGATATATAGACTGCAATACACACTTTAGTTGTATGAGAATGATTTTGTTTGGGAGCTGAACTTATTGATTGTGTGGTGTTATGGTTAGGTGAATAACAGGGAAAATGTTGGTGGTGATCAATTGCGTGGTGAGCAAAGGAAGGACACTTGCAAATGATTGCAAAGGCAGGAACACTTACGAATGGGGGAGTATTACAATCATTCACTTGCATTCCGATTTATAAAGCTTAAGGACCACAGGTTTGTCTATGTTCATTTTTTATCTTACGTTTCCATCGCTGGTGAGCTGATAGAGTCTGATAGGACTTGATCTGAATTATAAAAATCTTATCTTTTTGAACTTAAGATGAATGAATGAAGTTATGGCTTGAAGGACTCTCTCTTAACAACTATTCTTGTGTGTGTTTGAAACATGAGTGAATAAATAGCTGATAGGAGTTTATGGCTTGAAGGTCTAGATGAAAACGTAGTGAGAACGTAGTGAGATCAAGCTGAGGCCTACGTTGTTGTAGTATGGGAACATTATATGTAGTGTTCTTTCCTGCTACTAGAATAGTTTGATTTATACAGTTTCTAGATATCTAAACACATGATCAAACATTCTTCTTCCAAAATTTTTTTTTTTTTTTAAGAACCCCAAAATAAGCAACTTGCATTGAAGACAAATAAAAGTTCGGGTGCTTAGCTTTGGTGCTTAAACGATTTTAACAACTAAAAATTATTAAACAAAGAATAAGCACTCCAATTTAGGAGCTTGGGTTGATGATGCTCTAACATGCCTCTTTCTCCACTCTCTTTTGCACTTTAATTAAGCATAAATCATGTTAAGATTAGACTAAAGACTAAACCTCGCTGCTACTTATTCTCCAGTCTTTTGACTTAATACCAATTTGAGCATTATCCTTGATGGTAGTTGCCAACAACTTTGAGGTGAACTTAAGTATAATGACAAATGTGACCTCAAATCAAGTAACACATTCCATGCATGCATGAAACTGTTAGAGCAATTACATATGTTAATCTCTATCTATATATATTACTGACTATCTTCCACTATTGGACATACTCATGACTTTCCCCACCACCAAAGAGACAACTCTTTGGCCTTTTCATTCTTCTATGTTAACTTAGGTTTGATTAGTATTAGCCCATTTGAAAAGTTGAGTTTTACGTTATAATTAATACTCCCTCCGTTTCGAATTAATTATCATTCTGGAGAAAAAATTTTGTTTCAAAATAAGTGTCGTTTTCAAGTTTCGAGACAAAATTTATTAGTTTTATATGATATTCTATTTTCTATTGATTGAAAAATGGTTAGCTGTATATGTAATTGTGTTTTTTTCTTGAAAATATGTAAAATGAAATGTTTCTTTAATCTGTGTGCAAAAACGTAGAATGACAATTAAAATGAAACGGATGGAGTATTAAGTAGACCTGAACCATGTTAAGAGACATTTATTAACATGTGAACCGAGAAACTCACCGGTGCTACAGAACTTGAAACTATCACGCGCCATCGGCGGTGAAACCTCAAGTTTCTTGTGACGAAAGTAATTGGTTTTGATGACGTTGATGGTTCTCTGTAGCTCCTCTAAGTCCCTATCACATTTCTCTAACGCTCCAACAAGACTCAGCCTCGCCACATCTCCCTCCACTCCTTCGTTGCGTGGAAGCGGCGGCTCTACGGTTCCTCCGCCGTCTCCGTTTGATGTACCATCTAAAGGAGAAGCGTAGATGACCGTTCTTTGTTCTTGTTTTTTAGATCCCTGAGTGATGGATTTGCGGCGGTTGGAGGAGAAGTTGAAGGTGGAGAGGAAGAGGTTGAAGAATCCGGGGAGACAACCGGAGGATACGGTGGAGGAGGTTGAGTTTCTCCGAGGAGGATTATGAGTCTCACGCCATGAAGATGAATTACAAAGCAAGTTCTCTTGTTTACTCTTCTTCAAACTCTTTTGTGTATTGTTTTTTCAGACCTCTTTGTGTTCTCTTTATGTAAAACCTTAAACTCCCATCAATAAATGTTTTTTGTTCATTTCAACGGTAATTAAAACACTACATCTTTTTATACTTAAGGTTGGTCCATTAATTGGCACATGGCAAATAGTAAATACTGAATTACCAATGCTTTTTACAATTGCGATATATCATTATCCATAGTCATTATAGTGTTTTTTTCCCCATTCCATTGATCCTTTGGTATAAAGAAATTTATGATATAATATTTCTCGTTGAACTTTTGCTTGGCCCTGACCTCTTCACTAACTTAACTCACGACCAACCTCTCTATTTTTGTACTTGTGTTACAATGTCAGAACACAAGCATACTCACTCTCTTCACTCTCTCACTCACGTTTGTTGTTGTTATAGAGAGAAGAGATAACTCTTTATTTGTCTACATTTTTCTTATATTGATCTCAAAATGATAATTTTACACAACATTGCACACACATATTTATACAAGAAAACACTCTCCATTTTCTCCATTTCCTAGCCTTATTGTCTTGACTTAGGAGTTCTAATTTTCACAAGTACAAATTGAAGGTTTACAAGCAGAAGAGAATCAAATGTATGTTTTATTATCTGCATTTTTTATTAATTCAGTTTATAATAAATAAACTTTTATTTGTCTCCAACTTGACTCCAAATTTGATTTTTTGTAGGGAAAACTGAAAAAGAAGAAGAAGAAGAAGCAATTGAGTGAGACGAGGGCAAGTTTTAGTATCTCCATTCTTAAATGAGATTAACGTTTTCTTGAGTTGTTGAAAACCCAAACCCCTCTCACAGGTGCAGAATAACAACTGGGAAGAAGAATTGAATTTGAGCTATCTCCAAAACAAGTCACTGGCCTTAGGGACTTGGTCCTTGCTAGAATCATCCAGGTAACTTCTTTGGCCAATATTATTGCTTTGCTAAAAATTGTCTTAATGGTTTCATGTTTTTGTGAGCTTCGTGTTAAAACCTTTGTTTGTTTGCTTGCATGCAACTTTAGCTCTCCTGCCAACCCCTCTCTATTGCAGGTCTCTATTTTTTGTTGCTCGCTCACTCCATCCTTCTCAATGCTGCAGGTCCATCTCCAACCTCAGGAACTTGTCACAGGTTACTCTGTATAATGCTTCAACTTAGAATGAAGTAAAGTCTTCGAAATATCATGTTCTCTCCTGATTTTTAATATAGACTTGCATTGGTTTTACAGTGAGTAACTAAAGCTACAGTTCTAGTTAAAATTGTATCTAGTTTTGATAACTAGCCACCTATTGTAGAAAAAACAAAGAAAGTTCAAGAATAATGGCCATGATAAAGGAATCAGATTGAAGAAGAGGAAGAAGAAGTTAAATGAGTCAACCACAGAATGATCTTCTCAGCCAAGAACAAAGCCAAAACTTATTTTACGGCTTTTTCTTACTTAGTGTTGGTCTATTGGCACATACCAAATACTGAAATAAAAACAATTTTACTATTACAAAATACCATTAGCTATTAGACATTACAATGTCTTTTCCCCTTTTTGTGGTTTTCTATGTTTATTTTGTTAAAATAGATTAACACTAATTTTACTATTACAAAATACCATTAGCTATTAGACATTACAATGTCTTTTCCCCTTTTTGTGGTTTTCTATGTTTATTTTGTTAAAATAGATTAACATATAAGGATCTTGGTCATATCATAAATGGATCCTTGTTTTGATTGTGAACTGGTTCTAACAGATCGTACTGATCTATATTCCATACCTATCTAGATAATTCACTAAGAATCACTGGACCCAATTTCAACTGTAAAGCTAAATAAGAGATTTGGGCCAAATTGTTTAAGGAAAAAAGTTAACTGGGCCAACTGTAACAGTACAATGAAAGTGAAGGCAGTGAGGCCCTACTCTAGTATTTCAATGAGATTCGTTTGAGTTTTAATATTGGACCTTTAGGCCCAAATAATAAAAGTTAGACTAAAATATTGGCGGGTTGAGCCAGGCCCGTGCAGTAGTGCAACGCATGGACGACTCTTGAAAGCCCAGATAGCAAGCTATCTTAACGGGCTTTCTCCCTCAAAAAATAGAGTTAATATCGTGTGGGCCGATGGCCCACATATCAGATATTAAACTGATAAGAACAGATACTACACTTGATCTTAGCCAAAAGGCCGAGAAAGGTATGAATTGGAAGAATGGACTCGGCTTGTTTATATAGTGCGAAGCTTATGACCAACTTGCTTTGGTTTACCGATGTGGGACTTTCAGAATAGTCACTTATCTATAAACAATCAATACGACGACGAAACTCGCGTTTTTTCTTCTTTTTTTTGGGTACACATTCCCGTTTCTTCTTCTTCTTCATTTATTGTAAATACTTTGTCTTAGTTTGGCTAATCTGGTTCTTGTCTGAGATTTTGAAAGCAATCGTTGTCTGGGTTTGAATAGTTTTGAAAAGGTCTCGAATGCTCTCTTTTGTTTCTACCTTTGTCTTAGCTAAAAACTGTAACGCAGCCAAGAGTTTTCATTCATTGGAATCATCATCATCACAAGAGCTTAAAAAGATTTGTTGTGTCTAACTTCATACTTGAACGAGTCTAGAAACAGTCTAAGGGAGAGTCCGCTCTTCAAATAGTTAAACATGGTGACTATGCGCAGAGTATTGTTGACTAATGGAATGGATGATCAGTCTGTACATCAAATCTCCAATGCATTCAACTACAATAACAGCCAATGCAGCAGATTGACATTCTCCTAGAAAATGAAAAGACACTTCAGTATATGGATACTGGAAAGATGAATTTAGTGACATGATCTTCTTTAAGACACAAGAATCGACAAGTTGAAGTGTGCAAACAAGGACATAAGAATTTGATACAAGCGATAGGCTTAGAAACTTAAGGACCCTTACTACTACTTTAGTACAATAAAGTGACAAACCATGGCTTAGATATAGTTTAGTCTGTTATAACCATGGGTTAGTGCATGATTGGTTAGGGTCTCTTAAAAGATATACAGGTTTTCTCTGGGACTATTACCAAAAAATCCTCATTGTATCTCCAACAGTCACTATATGAAAAAGCCACACAGCAGCATATGATGCTTCCAAATTATAAATTAAACTTGCCTTTGGTGTTTGACCACACAAAGGCTGTGTAGGATGAAGGAAGTGGCAGAGAAAACAGATTCCAAGCGAATGGCAAGAGAGAAAGCACCTTCGTCTCTGAAACTTCACCTTGGCAAGAACTTGCTTCCACAGTTTGGTAATGTCAGGGTGATTGCAAATCCCATGAAAAAAAGCTAGAAGAAATCTTGGTCTTCTGACTCCGAAGTACCTACTTCCTAGAGCACATCCAATGAAACAATAATAATAAAAAAACATTTGTTTAAGAGAAGATTCAATCACCAACGTCTGGTTTCGACCACAAGCTGATTTATAAACAAAAGAGCTAAGCTTTACAAGTTAAAGTAATCGAAATTTCATTAATAATCTGAAAAGAAGGTTAAAACCAGAGAAAGTACTAAGAAACCGAAAGTGGCTTCAAGAGCAATACAAGCAAGCTCAACTAGAAGAAAGACACTGATTCAAAGAAGAAGAAGATGCTTGCTAGAACTACAAACTCAAGTCTTCTACTAAAATAACTCGTAATGTTTTTAAACAAAGTTAACACAATAGCTCCAAGTCTACGGAATGTACAAAGAAACAAAAGCTGTTTTCCTCTCTTTTTCTTATAAGCAAACCGACACAAGCGTTATAAAAATAAAAGAGTTCTGAGAGATCAGAAAGGAGCTGAGCTTGTTCGTCTGAGCTGCCGCTTAGGATCAGGTGGTGGTGCACTTGGAAGTATCTTCTCTACTTCCTGCAAAGTAAATAAAACACCAACCAAAACAATTTTAGCTTTTGCTAAAAAGGAAGATATGTCTGTCATGTGTTATGTTGTGTCTCATGACCCAAAACGACTTTTACAAGAAGCAAAGAAACAACAAAGCTTAAGCCTATATAGCCTTTCTCTAGCTCATGGTTTATTCCTATCATATGTTTTCTACTATGTTTGTGCTCACTTCCATACTTCACTACATCTTCTATCATCTACCATTCCCCTCTAATTCGTATCCAAAACTTAATACAAGACAGCTCTCACTACTAATGCCTATTTTAACACCAATCACAATCAATGCATGTGTATAACCAAAAGGCCCAAAGCTGCAAAAACATTTACCTTTTGCCTCCTAAGTCTTTCGTTTTCTTCTTCTAACCTTGAAACTTTGATCTCTAGCTCCTGAGTGTAAGCCTGCTCATCAACCAACACCCAATGTTAAACACCCAAATAGAAAGACAACATACATCTCTGTTCATAAAAAGTTGTTGTTTATCACCTGTTTCCTAGCACGAGAACGAGCAGCAGACTCTCTATTCTTTATCATCCTCTTCTGCTTCCTCTCAACAGTCTTCTCCACAACTTCCCCTGAAGCCACCCTCTTCCTCCCTGGAGTCTGCGTATCAGACAAACCACCCATCAAAGAAGACTGAGACACCATCCCTTGCATGTCTGCAACCGGATACGGCATAAACGGTTGCCCCTGTGGCATCGCTGGAAGCTGATGATACTGAACCCATGGAGCAGCAACACCCTGAGTTACATTTCCCCCTAAACCACCACCACCATCAGGAACAGTCTCAGTCACAACACCTGCTTTCAACAACAAGTCCTCAAGCGTCATTTCACCAAGCGTAGGCTGCTTATTATCTCTCCTCTCCTCATGAGCACCACCACTACTTCCATTACCGTTCTGCTGAATGTCTTTCCAAACCTCTTCAACAGTCTTCTTGCTGAGATCTTTTGGCAGAGTCAAACTCCCCTGACGAGAGAGACTTTCTTGAGTTACTGCTGGCTGGTTATTAGCTTCAACGGAGCAGACACTCTTGAGAAGTTCGTCAAGATTCATGCTTCCAAGTGCTTTACCAGAACCACCTAAATGGGTTTGGACCTCGTCGAGTGTTAAGCTGTAAAGAGAGCCTTGCCTATTTAAAGACTGAGATTTAGGTTCCCTCTGAGAATCCATTAAAACAACCAACACAGATATAGATAGATTGATAACAACGATCCTGAGCCGTAAAGATTGAAACTTTTAATCTCAATTTGATAAAATGGGGGAGAAACCCATCAAATCGAGGAGGAGAAAGTAACCCTTTTTCCTAAGGTTGAGTTGTGAAACATGCAAAATCTGAAAGGGTCTTGGGAACTGCATGCAGCATCGGGGGTGGATACAGAAACGCAGATTAGTGGAAAAAGGTAGGATCTTTGGAAAATTTGAGCTTGAAAAGGATCAGATCTATGCAAAGAAAGATTTGGGTTTGAATTTGTTGAAGTGGTGGTGGGTGTGTGAGTGAGAGAGAGAGAAAAGATAAACGATTACTATGATTAAGTGCAGAGAGAAAGAGAGAGAGAGAGAGATTTACAAAGCAGACCTACAACTCTACAACGCAGACCTAAACTGTGTTTGTGTTCTCTCTCTCTCTTCTTTTGTTTCGCGCAGGAGAGAAGTGCGAGAGAAACCTTTTGATTGAGGAAGTGTCACTTCGCTACTGTGGCATATCCCACTTGAAATTTCCAAAGAGAGCTTATATTTTAATAATTGATGATTAGTGATTTACTTTGATGAAGAGAGGTGGATTTGGAGTTGAATAAACATTAGACTACATGTGCATGTGGGCATTTTTGAGAGATTGCAAGTTTAGATTGTAAACAAAAACTTAGGAAAGCACATTCCAGATATGTAAACATGTAACTGCCAACATCTTCACATGTAGTCTGGAGAAAACACAGCTCAAAAAGTGTTGTGGAATTGCCAGACAGATTTTGAAAGTACTTAGGATTCCTAAGCTGTGTTGGAACTGAGAATAACAAACATAATTTCTTTCCATTTTTGAAGTTTCTATCATATTAGACTCAAGCCAAGATGGAATATAACATCAGCAGTAAGATTCACTCGCTTGTCTTCCACAAAATTTTTGAAGTGAGGTTTAAAAGTTCTCCATGGCTCCTGCATATCTCTTGTGAAGCTTTGTAGTCTTGTTGGCCATGTGGTTGGTGTGATCTTTTACAGCCTGCATCAAGACCTTGCTATGACCACTCAAGCCAGACCTCTCTGAAACCAAGACTATCTAAGACAATCATTGCCCAGACAAGAGCAGTAGCTTCAGCTCCCAAAACTGGATAGGATTAAAAGAGACAGGGCCTTGGCTCCAAACCACCTGAGCATATCACAAAATAGTCCAAACTAATATACTGCTAGCCTAGGTTAAACCAAATAGCTCAAGCATATTAACAAATCCATGAAACCGTGAAACAGAAGGATCGAATAAAACTATTTATAAATTTCTGAAAAACTAGAATTTGATAAGCACAAGGAGCATAGTTGTGTGTTTTTTTAAGTTTTACAAATGAAAGTTCTAAGGCGATGTTTCAGAAAACTGAAAAACAGAAGACATTGAATCTGAAAATAGTACAAATTGTTTTAGGAATAGCATAAAGATAGTATAGTTGGTGAAAATAAAATAAAATAAAACTCATTACGAGGTTTTATGAGTATGGCTTAAGAGTGACCAAAGAGTAAACATTTCATAAAGAATTCATATCATATGCATCAGCTCCTTATAAACTTCAGAAGAATCACCAAGCCAATATTAAAACACTTTTTTGGATATCTGCACAATCAATTTAAGAAAATAAGAAAAGGTTTTCACAATCTCAATCGTTCCAAAAAACAGAAAACCCTTGAGAAAACAGTTGAAAAGTAACACTCGAATTACATAGGTAACGTCTTCGTATCATGTAACTCTGATACAAAAGACAACCGACAGGAAGCAAACCGTGTGGGTTAAGACACAGATTGTTCTTGCTTTTAGATGTCAATTCCAAGTTAAATGAAACAAGTGAAGAGAAGTTATTCACTGAACTACCTGAGTGGATACACGATACATCTAGTGGTGACCCATGTAAGGAGAGTATTGCCCCACACCATGTTGCCCTCTGCCTTTACCGCCCTGACCAGGTTGTGGAGTCTGATAGCCACCTTCCAACCCAGGTTGTGCACCGTACCCAGGAATAGTCCCTGGTGTCATACCTTGAATACCATAACCAGTTGGCATCCCAGCTCCAACTCCAGGATATACTCCTACCCCTGTCCCCAGTGAACCCAACAAAGCCTGACCAATTGCCGGGTTAAACGCCAAACCAGCTCCCTGCGACGCTAACAAAGCAGTCAAAGCCTGTCCAATGCCTGGGTCCATCCCTACTTGGTTACCAGCCATGAGATGTCCATGACCACCAGGTGCACCATAAAGAGGATTGCTATGATTATGAGAACTAAACTGTTGCTGCTTCCCCTGTTTAGGACCATCAATCGCCTTCTGACAATGCAAAACACTCCCCTCAAAAGACTTATGCGGCTCCTGTAAAGCCTTTTTAGCACTCTCAGCAGACTTATAAACAAAAAGACAAAACCCTTTAGGTCTCCCAGTAAACTTATCTAAACCCAAAGGACCTTCCTCAACCTCACCAAACCTCGAAAAAAACTCCAACAACTTCTCCGGATCAACCTCTGCTCCAACATTACTAACATAAATCTTCCTCTGAGTATGCTCCGTACCAGGAACAACCGCGTTCCCACCAAAGACAGGTCCTTTACAAGCTAACTGACACGAAGCCACACGACTCCCAATCTTCTTCTGAGGCTGCTTAAGCGCGTTGCGAGCACCTGATCTTGACTTAAACAGTATAAAGCCGTAGCCTTTAGATTTTCCCGAGATTTTGTCGAACACGGCTTTGCAATCTTCGATCTCTCCGTATTCATTGAAAGCCTCGATTAGGGTTTCGGTTTTGGTGTCCCATCCGAGACCGTGGATGAAGATTTTCCGGTGAGATGGGTCTTCTTCGGCTACTTCGCGGATTCGATTCGCGATGTCGGGGTGGTTATTAGCAGCTGATTTGAGGAGTTCTAGAAGTTGTTCTTTAGAAAACGGTTCCAATAGATCTTGAATTGGCTCGTTGTGATCTTCCTCGAATTTAGCTTCTTGGTTGACCTGATTGTTGATTCCAATTTGATTCTGGGAAGGTTCGGAAGCGTCGCCGGGTTGTGATTCGAGCTTTCTCTTCTTTGTCATGGTGGAAATCAAGAAAAGAGTTTTTAGGGTTTCGAAATTTTCTTTTGGTTTCTTCGAGAAGAAAGAAGCTGATTCTCTTTTTTATCTCATGTTCTGTAGCTTGAATTGACATATTTACCCCTAACCATTTGGAATATAAGACTACTAGGATAAGATCCGCGCCTTACGCGGGATGAAGCTATTATTTCTATTATGTTTTGAAAAATGAAACAATAGTTCGGTTTCATTCGGATTAGAGGTGTTCAATCCGGATATCGGGTTTCGGTTCGGCTCGATTTTTTGGTATTTCGATCATTAAAATATAACTACTATTCTGAATCTATATGTACTTCAGTTTGATTTGGTTTATATACCATTGGTTTTCAGTTTATTCAATTTTATACCAAAAAACATAATTATTTAGTTTGAGATCATATTATATATTATACAAAGATATTATATGATCATATTTAGAGTCATATTGTCAAAGAGTCATTTATTAAAAAAAATTATATATTTAAATAAAAGAATAAAAAACAAAAAGGCTTCTATCATCTAATAAAATGATCAAATCTAGAATTAATAACAAAACACTAAATTTTGAAAATAAAAATAAAAAATAAAACAGAAGCATGAAAGAAATTTTTTTATATTCTTCCATATTTAGTGTTCATCAAACCAATATGTCTTCGATTGAACCCAACTCTGCTTGTTTAAAGATAAAAAAAAGTTGTAAAGAATTTCAACTAATTGTTGTCCATCAAATTTATAATCTTTACTTCAATTTAGTTACTGTTAAAAAAGCAAAAGATCAAAATAAGATGTCTCAATTGTAATAAATTGTTAGCTATTTACAAATTATAATTATAGTTCAACTCATGTAACAAATAGATATTCATGCGTCGTTATAAATATATACANCAACTAATTGTTGTCCATCAAATTTATAATCTTTACTTCAATTTAGTTACTGTTAAAAAAGCAAAAGATCAAAATAAGATGTCTCAATTGTAATAAATTGTTAGCTATTTACAAATTATAATTATAGTTCAACTCATGTAACAAATAGATATTCATGCGTCGTTATAAATATATACATATTTACATGTTTCAGTTTAATTGGTTATAAATCAAACCATATTCAAATCCTATGGTTTTTATAAATTCACATCCATTCGGTTTGGATGGTATATACCAAAAATAACCATATTATCAATTGTTAATATCTTTTAAAAATATAAAGTTAAAAAAGAACTAAGATATTAAAATCACTGATAACAAAAATTTTCAATGTGAAAAATTGATTAAGTTTATAATTTATAAATGTTCTTGAAAATTTATTGAAAACTTTTAAATTAAAATATTTATCTAATCTTATATGGTATATAGTTTAATCTGTATATATATTTGTTTTATTATTGAATGATACTTTTTACTTATATAGTTTTAAAATCATGTATATCTTTTTATAATAAAAATTTTAAACTATTGATCATTAATTTTTAACATAATAATTTTAATAGTTTAGGTATTTATTCTCATTTTTTAAAATTCAAAATATAACCTATACGAAAAAATCTAAAATTTAATTTTATAGCTAATTTGATTGTTTAATTTATTTTAATAATGTAAAATTAAATAAAAATGATGGAGGATGTATAAACTGTTATCAAATATTTATTATTAGAATCATTAAGTGTCATATATATATATATTAGTCATTTATGATAATTCTGTACGTTTTATTTATGGAAAGAAAATAAAATAGTAATTATATCTAGGGGATCAATCATTAAGTGTCATATATATATATATATATATATATATATATATATATATATATATATATATATATATATATATATATTAGTCATTTATGGTAATTCCGTCGATTTTATTTATGGAAAGAAAATAATGTAAACTCGGTTTGATGCGTGGGATATATATTAATGTAAACTCGGTTACATGCGTTACATGCGTCTGTAATTATTGTTTCCCTAGTAAATTTCAATTGAACCTAAAGCTGTCACGTTAGTTTAATTGGTATGCTAATTGAACATCAATTAAACATCTTTGCATATATCAGTTTTAACATAAATTCCCAAGTTAACATATTAAGTTTTATATTTTACATATACACTTGCCTTTACCATTAAGTCTGTACTTGGTCACAAAGTAATTTCCATTTTACATATACACTTCCATAAATTAAAAGGAATGAATCTATTATAGTTAATATATGCAAATCGTTATCAAATCGTATATTTTCCTTTTTTTCCATTACATGCGTGCGATATATATAAATATATAAACTATGTTACATGCGTTATATGCGTTTCTAATTATTTTTCCCTAGAAAATTTCAATTGAACCTAAAGCTGCCACGTCAGTTTAATTGGTATGCTAATTGATTGACAACTAAGCAAGGTTACTTTTTAATTAATACAAACTTGAGGTTACATCTTTTCAAATGTTTCTCAATTAATATATAGGGNAAATTTCAATTGAACCTAAAGCTGCCACGTCAGTTTAATTGGTATGCTAATTGATTGACAACTAAGCAAGGTTACTTTTTAATTAATACAAACTTGAGGTTACATCTTTTCAAATGTTTCTCAATTAATATATAGGGATATTAATATTGGGCTTTAAGTTCGAAGGCCCATTTACGGGAAAAATGCAAGAATAACGTAGAATTTGATCCTTAAAGCTCATGGGTTTGACAGCATGGACCGAGTGGAAATCATTCCAGATTCAAATCAAACAAATGAACAATAATATACTCAGCAAACGCAGTCTCAAAGGATGTACACAGAAAGCTTTTGTCTTTTCTCTAGGGAAAATGCTTGATTGCAGCTAAGCTCACAAAAACTAAAAGAGATGAAATCGATGAGACAACTCACAAATCGCTACGGCAGTGACCAGCAACAATAACTAAACCTCACTTTCGTAGATTGTTTTTATGTTGTTTTTGCTAGCGTTAGCGATTATTGGTACTGTTGTTTGTATAGTGATCACATGTAATTTGTTATTTTTTATATCTACTATATAAATATGACATTGAAACACTAAATATATGATGACTAAAACTGTAGAAGGTGATTACTTACACAACGATAAGTAAACGAATAACAATTAGTTGATAACGATGGTTGTTGCTGCAAATATAAACAAACATGGGTATAGTCTCTGCAATCAAGATAGTGAAACTTAATTCTCGCAATAAACAACCTTTATTGCAGTAACTTCAACCTCATCGGTTGGTTTGCTGATTACCTATAAACAAAAATAATTCTTCTTCCACACTCAATCCAACCTTGGGAGTTAAGACAATCCAGAAGCAGATTCAGTTTCAGCGAAGAGCTTATTTCTAACCATTGGGCTCAACTTTAATTGGCCCCATTCATGTGAAGGATGGTCAAATTAACTTGTCCTGTATAAGATGTATCATATATTTTTCTATAAGATGTGAAGGATGTGAAGGATGATCAATATTTTTCTATAAAAAGACAATATAACAGACATTTGTTTCAAAAGAGAAGGAATCTTATTTGTTCAAGGCGCAAGAAGCTTGGGCGACAAGAGTGGGCAGTGTCTTGGGAGCGACGAAGAAACTTTGGGCGCAATGCATCTGACACGACCGCTCCTTCAAGTCAACATTCTCATGTGTCCCTCCCTCTTTTTCGTTCTTTTTACGTTTTATTTGATCAATTTGAGTTATTTTAAAATTAGATTAGACTAAACTATAAATAAAATTAGAACTCGACGCCTCTCGTCATGATACCGTCATGATTACATCGTTTTTAAAAAGCTGACGCCAGTGCTGGCGTATCCTTGACTTTTGTTCCTCCTATAATAAAGACAAATGCTGCATTTTCTCAAAAATCAGAAAGACTTTCCACTTTGTTTATTTTATTGTACTAGGATAAGATCTACGCAATGCGCATGATGAATGTATGTAATTAAAATATAAAATTTTAGTGTTGACAAATTTAAAATTTATATATGATCGTTTTTATATGTATTTGGAATTTTTATATAATTATCTATATATAGGATCAGAAACAATTATAATTCAAACTATAGATCAAAGTTTAGAATTTAATGTGCCCGATTTCATATATCTTTTCACTTTTCAGTATTTTACTGATGGAAAATAAGCAGAGTGTCACGGGGGCTTGATTGATAGAGTATTAGCAATTTCTCTAATGCTTTCTTAAGAAACAGTTGGTAAAATACTTGCATTTAGAATATATAAAGTTTCCCAACTAATTTAATATAATTTATTTATTTGTCTAATGATAGAAGAAAATTATATGTTTAAAAAATAATTTAAACAAAGAAAGAATTTTATTAAAAAAATGATTTAAATTTTAAATTATTTCAAAAATAAAATTATTTTTTAAGAAAAACATTATAATTTTTTCCAAATAAAAATTAAAAGTTAAAAATTAATTATGTTCATGATTGAACATAGCCATAATGATTTAAAAATTAAAAATTAACTCTGTTTATGATCATGATTTAACAATTTTAAAATTAATTATAGTAATGAGAAATTTACGTTCTCGTGTCAATCCTATCTATCTTCAATACTTTTCTCTTTTGGTGTTTTTTATTTTGGTTATTACTCGATATAAATATTGATTTTGAAGTTTATTCTCATTTCGTTTGTTTGTTTTGGCCCGAGATTTAGAAAATGCTTAAGATTTAAAATTATTAAAGAGATACAAACTTAGGTTAAAATATGCACTTTATGTAATAAATTGGCGTATGCATATAAATCTAACGATCACTCTTGTTTATCGCAGTTAGGGTAAATAAATAAAAACAATCAATCTTATATATTGTATATGATACATATAATTAAATTTAAATGATATTAACATAGATATATAGCACAATTTTAATATGAATATTTTTTAAAAGGTTTCTACTCATATGTTTTTATGATTATTTGCATATTTGTGTAACAAAACTTTACACCAACGAATTCTTTTTATTATGGGAGATGTTTAGTA